AACTATGAGAACTAATACATTTTCTTCTCAGAATTTGATTGTAATTCAATAATGATCACCCTTTTCAAAAGTTCTTTTAAAGAACACTTCAAGAGTTCACACTTAGCTGATGATTGATAATAAAGCTAGTTTGGTGTGCTGTCCCGGGAGAGAGCCCTGAGCTTATAAGATCCTTGAGCCCTTGGCTCCCTCCCATTGCAAGGCAAGAGGGGAGTTTGAGCCCAGGTAGATCTCGATGACTCCCCCTCTTGCTTGTTGTACCTAAGTGTCAGATATGTATACTGAAAGGTGTACTCAGAGTTTAGTTATTTGGATTAATTGTTTAGAGTGCTTGTTTTTGAACTGTGGGAGGAAACCGGAGGACCCGGGGAAAACCCACACGACCAAGGGGAGAACGAGCAAACTCCGCACAGAAATGCCGTCTGGTTTGGAAAGGAATTAAACCAGGGGCATTCCTGCTGTGAGGCAACAGCGCTAATCGCTGGCCACCGTGACGCCCGTTTGAAAGGAGGGAAAGTAGTGTTGGGTGGGGGGGTTTTTCAAGACGAAGATATTGAGATAAGAAAAGTCTGGCTATTTATAGTGAGTTAAGGATCGTCTGATAGGATAATCAGTCATTAGCTAAAGTTGGAACAGCTGCGAACAATCACAAGCACGTGATCCTCTCGAAATTTGTTTATGAATAAACTTCACTAATTATTGTGAAAAACTTGAATTGAATTGAACTTTAGGCATACCAAGGCAAAGTTGAATATTAAGAGTTGTGAATAGTTGTGGAAAATGTACTACATCATGGGGTCATTTGTTTCATTCGTTTAATACATTTATGTCAACATAGCTCTTAGGATACATTTATTCAAGTACTTGCGCTTCATAAACACTGCAGTATTCACTGTAAATTACTAAAGTGTCTATTTTCATAAGAGGGAGGTCAGGAATGTCTTCTATGATACTCCCCTGCATGATTACTCTGGGAGAGGCGTGTGGAGGGTGAATGACTGTGATCTCGTCTGTGCTGATAAAACGTTCATCTACGTAAAGTTGACCGATCAGGAAGATAAACTCACTGAATTGCAAGCGCTGTATGATGTGTCCTGCATAACAGCGGCATCAGAAATGATAGTTTACAGTGTAGTAGACTGGCAAAAGGTCAATTCCTTTAACTCATTTAGGATATGCGCTAGGACAGGGGTGTCCAAACTCGGTCGTAGAGGGCCAGTGTCTGGAATAGTTTAGTTCGGACCCCAATTAGATACACCTAGCTTATCAAGCTCTTACTAGGCTTACAGACTTCCTCATCTGATGTGGAGAGAGCAGCTTGTCTGAGCGTAGCCTTTAGGAGGCAGATCTCAAGTCATTGGCCTTGGTTTGCTGCAGTTTGGTCAGAGTCAGTTGTTTCCTCTGTCAGACGAAGCTGTGCTTCTGCCCTTTCAGTCTCTATTTGAGATTGTTGAAAGTGATTTAAAAAATCAGCGATTGCCATTCTTTGCATTTTTATTTATTCTGTAATCATTGCATGCACCACTAATAAATATTCTAAAAAGAAAAACATTTCCCATTGTGATAAATATATATATCATTTAGTGAAAGAATAAAATTGATTGTTTTTGGTCAGTTTTGACAGATTTTTAAGGGATTATTTTATGAGGCCAAACTCTTTCTATTTTGCTGTAGGCCTATACTAATAGGCTGAATACGTTAAAGCCTATCACTCACTATAGCCTGACGGATGAACTAATAAAATGAAAACCTTATGAATGAATAGTATTTCTCGTAAGATACTGCATGATTCAAATATAGTATTATTTAATAGATTTTTTAAGCTTTCATTACATTTTGGGCATGAAATCCACGCTGAATCCACCCTTCTGATGGCACCCTGATGGGTTTTTTGGATCAAAGTGATCCAGATCCTACAAAAAAGGTCTGAAAAACCCAAACTAAAGGTTTGATCCGGATCAAAACCAAGATTGGATTACGTGATCTAATCCGATTATGTAATCCGTTTTTTCTTTTGAAAAACCCATTTTCAAGATTTGATCCAATCCCTTATCCAAAATCCTAGTGGATTACTTTTGAAAAACCGGGCCCAGAACCCCTTCTCATCACATCGCCCCTGTCCTGCAGCAGCTTCACTGGTTACCTGTTCATTCTTGAATTGACTTTAAAATCTTGATGTTAACATTCAAAGCCATCCGCAATCTCGCCCCTCCATATTTGTCTGCCCTCATCCACATTCCTGTTCCTTCTCGCACCCTGCGATCTTCTTCCTCCCTCCACTTGTCTGTTCCCTCTTCTCGCCTTTCAACTATGGGCAACAGAGCATTCAGCCGCTCTGCTCCGCGGCTTTGGAACTCATTACCACCTGCCATCAGAAACATTGACTCCCTCACACTGCTCAAATCAAGACTCAAAGCCCACTTATTTAAGATGCCTTTTAATACTTAATTTTATCTGCACTATTGCTGTATATATTTTATTATTGCTCTTGTTGATTGTACGGTGTCCTTGAGTTGCTAGAAAGGCGCCTTTAAATCAAATGTATTATTATTATTATTAAGTGTTCAGCAGTGTATTATTCAGTGAACTTAAAAATTGAGACATCATTACACACATGATTCATGACACATCATTTGTGTCCACGTGTTTAAGGAGATGACAGATTGCGAAATCCTTTAAACTCATTTTGAGAGGATCACATGCAGATGACTGACCACGGCTCTTCTCCCATCAACAGTCACACGACCAACCAAGCAGTTCAATTCAACCAATTCAATCAGTTGAATCTAACACACATAAATAGCTAACTCACCTTACCTCTGCCATTTTGATTTGAAGAATCCTTCCATCCGCCCCGCTTCCTCTCTCTGTTTTTTTCTTTCAGGACTTACCTGAGCTCTGACTCAGGGCTCCCTCTCGGGACAGCATGCCGAATACGTCTTTACACTATCAGTCATCAGCTACGTGTGAATTCTTGAAATGCAAATGAGCTGGTTTTCCCCGCCCACCATTCTCACACGTGTATCAGTTTCTCCTGGGTCACGTCTGATCAACAGCAGTCAGGGACAGAGAACGAGTGAAGCAGAGATCAGGTTATCAGTCAGAAATAACACGTAGGTTTATTTGTGGTGGAGTTTATTCAAGCTTTTCTGAAACCACGAGTCACACACAAATGTCATTACAAAGTTCACTGACACTATACGGCTGTTGTGGTTCCAACGGTTATGAATCACACATCGATTTTACTCTCTCTTTTTTTTTTTTAAACATGCTGTTTTAAAAACATATTAAACCAAACTCATTTTTGAGCTGTGGCTGATCACAGAGAGTTGAACAGATCTTTTAATCCCAGTTTCTTTGCAAATCCTGTCCTGTGAACATGTTTATATGCGTTAATATGAAGACATGTTAATATGTGCCTGTCAATCAATTCAGGGGGTGGAGAAATCACCCCTATGTCACGTTGTGATGGGCCTACTGGGATTTGGATCCTATTATTACATAGGGAAATAAAAAAAAAGAGACTTATTGTGTTTATGTACATCTAGTTAAACACAGCTCTGTTCAAAGAGCTTTCAAAAAATTATTTGCCATCATATTTTCACTAAACTGGTACGGTACAGTACGGCAGTGGTTCTCAAAGTGGGGGTCAGGACCCCCAGAGGGGTCGCGTGACATTGAAGCGGGGTTGCCTGGTGATTTTCAAAAATCTATTTTTATTAAACCATAACAATTACCATATTTTATCTACAACGTACTGAAAAGAAAAAAATGTTGTTTATATTTACTATATACTTCTGTGGTTACTATACTAGCTTATAGTTGCTAGTTCTATTGGATTGTGACTCCTGATGTAATTACATTTTATTAAAGACACAGCAATACTGTCAGATGCAGCAGATTGATTTTATAACACCAGGTTAAACTTTCTGGCCCATTTACAGCACTGACATACATTAAAAAAATGCAACGAAGAATAGACTTGGGTCTATAAGTGTGTGTGTATGTGTGTGTGCCATTGCATGCAAGGTTTCTGTATTTATAACCACCTCAGAGGATATTGGGGGTCGCGAGTCACTGGCATTGTTATTTTGGGGGTCACAGGCTGAAGAGTTTGGGAACCCCTGCAGTACGGTATGGGTCACCAGGGGTGCAACTGCAAATTTACCAAAGGGGTATGCAGGTTCATATTTTGCGAATATTGTTGTGAATATTCTGACTATTTGTTTATATGTCAGTTTTAACAGGGCTAAGAAATAATATATATTTTTAATCCAAATATTAGTTTTTATTTTTTTTATCCAGCTGCAACAGATCAATCAAATGGTCGACAGAGGGGGAGGGGTGGTATAATACAATTTTAATAATAATAATAATAATACCTTTTATTTTTAGGCTTCATTTAATTTAGATTTTAGGTGCCTTCAGGCGGTATGATTTTCTTTATTTTATAAAATACAATATTATACTCGTATAAAACGCAAAATAAACATTCATTCATTCTCTTGTCGGCTTAGTCCCTTTATTAATCTGGGGTCGCCACAGCGGAATGAACCGCCATCTTATTGTGGGAATAACATCCACACACACATTCACACACACACACACACACACACTCATACAATACGGACAATTTAGTCTACCCAATTCACCTGTACCACATGTCTTTGGACTGTGGGGGAAACCGGAGCACCCGGAGGAAACCCACGCGAAGGAGAACATGCAAACTCCACACAGAAACGCCAACTGAGCCGAGCCGAGGTTCGAACCAGCGACCTTCTTGCTGTGAGGCGACAGCACTACCTACTACCTACCTACTTATTTGAAACTTTTAATCATTAATTTTTCGTTTTCTTTTCGAGACATTTCACCAAAATACTTTATACAAATAATAACGAAAAGGGTGCCCAAAAAGTGCTATGGTTCACTTTTTGGTAACTTTTGACAGTAAAACGGCCATAAAAGCATACCGAACCGTGCCACACCACTCCGATAGGCGCCCTTTAAAAAGACCCTGATGTTTGTCATTAACCCTTAGATCAACAAACTGAAGTGTACCTTGTTATGAATACTAAGTGTTGTCGGGGAAGTCATCATTTTTGGGATTTTTATACGTCATCATTTTAACACAACACAAGTGCACATGCTAATCACATCTGACACCACAATGCTATGATCACGCATAGGAATGAACACTGTTTATTTTTCTTCCTTTCTGAAAGTCTGTTTAAAAACTAAACAATGCATATCCACATGAAGAAATCCCCCCGCCTCGTCTATCATAAGACTGAAAGGAAGCACATGTTCTTCCGTTTTTGTTTTTTTTAGCTTAAGTGTTACCTTCGTCTTTATCAGAGAACTGAGAAGGCTGTTTTTTCAGATAAGCTCAACTCAAGAAGTTCTCAACACCAAGCTGAGTCAAGTCGATGAGCTGAAGAGAAATGAGTCTATATACAGTTGTTTTAGTGTGTATTATATACAACAACCAAGGTAAGCGACGCATTTCACTCTTAATTCCAATTATAGAGTATGTTGTGCTGATGTTATGTAGTTTGGTCATTTGGGTGAGATTATATGAGAGTTTGTAGCTATAACGTCTCGTTTTCTTTCGAAGATAAACAAAGACTCTGAATTGAGCAGGAAACTGGCTGTTTTTCAGTTCAACGTTAGCATGTAGGACTCAGTAGATCACTTAAGATCAGTTATTGATCACAGATTACATGACAACAGTGTCTGTCAGGAATATAACTCTTAAATTATACACTTAAGGTCACATAATGGGACTACTTTAGGATTAATTTTGTGCTCATGTTGATTTGGTGAACTTGAAGTTGGATAATTGTGTACTATTTTGACATAAAAAGAAAATGAATCTTCATTCTTCATCAGCAACCAGAGCCTCAAGAGTTTCTTTTTTAAGATGGACAGTTAATGCTTAATATTATGTTCATTCGTCATTCATTTTCTTTTCGGCTTAGTCCTTTTATTAACCAGCGGAATGAACCCCCAACTTATCCAGCATATGTTTCATGCAGTGGATGCCCTTCCAGCTGCAGCCCAGTATAGCTTAAAATGAACTCTCAATATTACACCACAATTTTTGTATTTCATTATTAAAGAGCTATATTAAAACAGCTGAAGTAATGCACTTTCTCCTGTTCTGGTTGATTACCTTAAACTCTGCGCTAAAACACCCTCATGATGGCGTCTGCAGCTAGTAGGCTACCCGTCAGTCTGTTCATTCAAAAACTATGTGTGAAGTGAAAGTGAAGGTCTCTCTTTGTGTATTTTTTATGTAAACTTTGATATGTTTGCATAATTGTCTAAAGTAATGTCCTGTGATTGTTCCATACAGGAGGATCTAGCTAGGCTCAGTGGTGTTTCTGCCTTATTAGACTGTAAAATTAGAAGAAGCAGAAGCTGCTCTTTTGCAGTTTCTCTGTTGACCTGTGGTTCTCTTTGAATCTGAGTGTTTTTAAAAAATAAATTAATTAAATAATTAAAAAAATTGATACATGTATATTATATAGTTTTAGTTTTAAATATAATAAAAATTATTATTATATATTTTTTATAAATGTATTTCTCTCTTTTCGGCTAAGTCCCTTTATTAATCTGGGATCGCCACAGCGGAATGAACCGCCGACTTAAGGCTGATTTATACTTCTGCGTCAAACGCCGGCGTATGCTATGGCGCTGACGCAAAGCCCTTCGCCGTGGCCGTCGCCTTCACTGTCGTGACGCCGCATGCAACGCGCGTAGCTGTGCATTTATACTTCTGCGCGCTGTCTCTGTTGGTCTGCATTAACACTTCCGAAACGCTAGTTGGCAGTGAGGTGTAAATGTTCCTCTGTGTCGAGTTTCTTCGCTGCTGTTTTGCTTTTCCTGAACACTTCCGGGATGTACAAGTGTCTCAAACTCGCTCATTTTAAGGCAGGAACCGGCGGACGTGCAACAACTTTAACTATGAGGTAAACACAAAACAAAACTTTCCATCAGGAGCTCTTTCACAGTACTCCACACTTGTAAACAATCGCTCCATCAGGCTTGTACCATTCGCGTGGCTCTCGGTCCCGCCCAGACTTGTCAGCGCTTCCAAGCTGACCAATCACAGAGCTTACGCTACGTGTCGTTGCGACGTTTAGTTACATTTTTTGAGAGATTTTTCGGCGACGCCGACGGCCACGGCGAAGGGCTATGCGCCAGCTTCGTAGCATACGTCGGCGTTTGACGCAGAAGTATAAATCAGCCTTAATTCCCGCCCTTTCATGGTAGGTACACACAGTGCATACAGCTGTAAAGCTGCAGGCGCAGTTTCCCAACCCTGTTCCTGAAGGCACACCAACAGTATTTCATTTTCAACTTCATCCTAATCCAGCACACCTGAGTCAACTCATCAGAACAGTAGAAGAGAATCCAAAAGCTGAAGTTAATGGTCAGATGAGGGAGACATCATCCAAAATATGTACTGTTGGTGTGCCTTCAGGAACAGGGTTGGGAATCACTGAAGTAGGGAACAGTTTGATTCAATCTAGCCATGTATACAATACATCAACAATGTCTGATTTGACCAGAGACACAAACCACATTGACTCTTTTTAACAAATAAGTGTTGTTAAAACGTTATGATGTAGCCACACTCAATACTGAGCGTTTGAGGGTCTAAATAGGTCACGTTACAAGCTTCAAAAAGCTGAGAATCTCTTTTTTTTATGCCACTCTTTAAATCTATCAGCGAATCAAAAGTTATTAAACATTTAAGAATAATACTTGGTTGCACGGTGGCTCAATGGTTAGCACTGTAGCCTCACAGCAAAAAAGTTTAGGAGTCCCAGCAGGCCCAACTGGTATTTCTGTGTTTGAACTGAGTTTGCATGTTCTCCCTGTGTTGGTGTGGGTTTCCCCTCACAGTCCAAACACGTGCGCTATAGGGGAATTGGATGAACTAAATAGGCTGGAGTGTATGAGTATGTCTGGGTGTTTCCCAGTACTGGGTTGCGAAGATAACGGCATCCACTGCATAAAACTTAAGCTAGAATAGTTGGCGGTTCATTCCGCTGCGGTGACCCCTGATAAATAAGGGAATAAGCTGCAGGAAAATGAAGAATACTACTTATTTTTAGCCTTGAGAGGGTGTCTAGGTCTTTAATAAAGGAGCTAAAGTAATCCATGAAGTAACTGTAGTCTGATTACGAGTATTTTTAAAAGTAGTTTAGTCTAATTACAAGCACAGATTAAATGTAATCCAGTACTACCCTGCAGCATTAGCTTAAGTAACTTTAAAAAGTAGTATATAACAATCTTAAGGCATGTTTTTTAAGGAACTACTAAATGTAGCACTTCCCAGCAGGCACACAACATCATATGACGTTGATCTTCATTTCTATTTTGGTTGTGATGTCTGGTGTCCAAAAATGAGCGTCAATTTGTTGTCTTTTACCGACGTCAGCTGATATGTGGTTGGTTTTAGGATGTGACATTTAACTAAACAAAATCCAGCATCAGCTTAACGTCATGATATGACATCCATACAACGTCAAAGCCTAACATCAGTGGACGTTTATCTTGGTTGGGTTTATGTTGTGTAATCATGTTGACGTTGGAGTCTGACCGCAAACTAACAACCCGATTTTCATATACAACCAAAATTCAACGTTAATTTGACATCTGTGATGTCTGGTGCCTACTGAGTTATTAGTAATGTGTTATTTTCGCAAGGTTTTCCCCCCTTATCTCGGCTGTGTTTAAGATAGTCATTCATTACTTTTAAAAGTGACTATATCGATTAGATCTTTTACAGCATATTTTCACAGACTAATTGTTTATTCATTTGTTTGGTTTGTAGTGTTCGGAAGAGAGGAGCGTGTCACTGTTTACCTGGGCCAGTCAGCGCTCTTGAAGACTGGGTCGGACAGACCTTGGAACCTCACCAGAGTTCAGTGGTCCATTTATAAGAACACAACATACATCGCGAGTCTAAGGGACAGAATCGTTACAATATTCGACTTTTGGAGGTATCGGGATCGACTTGAACTCAACAGCAATACGGGAGATTTAACGATCAAGGATGTGAGGATGGACGACACCTTGACATACACTGTGGACCTGGTCAATGCTGATGGTACTCGGCCACAACATAAAGTTCATCTCACAGTAAAAGGTAAATAAGAGATGTTTTAGTTAGTCTTAAGGAGACAGTTTAGCCAAAAAGGAAAATTCTGTCATCATTTACTCATCCTCAACTTGTTCCAAACATTTTTTTACATTGTTACTTCAGTTGAACACAAAGAAAGCTGGAAAAAACGGCCGTTGACTTCAATATTGTTTTGGTTCCTGCTATAGATGTCAGTGATAGTTTTTATTTTGTAATTCTTCAGAATATCTTCTTTTTGTGTGTGTGTACGTGTTTTTGTGACATATCAGGACACAAATCTGTATAATGAGTATGACACAGGTATTACAAAAAGGAGGTGAAATATGAGGACATTGGTGACGTCCTCATTTCTCAAAATGCTTATAAATCCCACAGTATGAGTTTAATCAGAGAGTAAAGCTGCACACAATCTTGTGATGGTTGGGTTTAGGGGTGGGGTGGAGTGAGGGCAATACAACATATGGTTTGGACTGTATAAAATGAATGGAAACCTATGTAATGTCCCCACTTTTCACAAAAACAAAAATGTGTGTGTGTGTGTGTGTTCAACAGAAGAAAGAAATGCACAAAACCACTTCAGTGTTAGTAAATGCTAAAGAAATCAAAATGCTTTGGTGTGAACTGTCCCTTTAAGAGTGCGATACGGTTATTTAAAGGTGACCTATTATGCCGTTTTTTACAAGATGTAAAATAAGTCTGTGATGTCCCTAGAGAGTGTGTGTGAAGTTTGAGCTCAAAATACTGCACAGATAATGCTTTATAACTCTCTGAAACGGACTCTTTCAGGCTTTGATCCTAATTGTGGCGTTTTACTGACTGTCGCTTTAAATTCAAATGAGCTTGTGCTCTTTTCAAAAGAGGGCTGGGCTACAAATGCCTGTGTGTCAGCATAGTGGCAGCTTTAAAACTCTAATGGCAGATGGCTGCTTCTCACTCAAGGATTTATGCTAATGAGGGAGAAATGGTCCCTAGTGGGCGGGGCTTTCCCCCTCTGATGACACTTACAAAGGGAGAATGTCAATCAAAGTGTTTCTGCAGGCTGTTTTCATCAAGTCTGATTATAAACGCATAGAATTATTTTAACCCGGGCTCATTGTGGAAACGTAGCCCCGCGGACGTTTCTGCGGACCGCGATTTACGTTCCGGGAGATACGTATTCGAGCGTTTTTTTTGTTTTCGCGGATCTGCGAGAGGCCGCTGTGCGCGCTTTTTCGCGTCTCGGGCGGGCACGGCGTTCGCGCCTGCGCCATTCTCGCGCAAAAAGCCGCCGGATCGGGGGAAAAAAAAAAAAAAAAAGCAAAAGCCCTCGTCTTCGATGTCGACCGCGTTTTCGGATCCCGCCATGTTCTCGCCCTTATTTTCCGGATTCCGTTTTTCGTCTTACCTGATTTCCGGAACCTGCCGTTCCCCGGACTCGATCCCGGTCGTCGTCCACCGCGGCCGGCTCCGGCTCCTCCTCCTCCTCCGGGGCCTACGCTCCGCCGACGCAACGCTGTGAGCTAGGCGGACAAACTGATTGCGTCGGGAAAGCCCTCCACTCGGAGGCGAGCCGTCGGCCGGCGAGCGCGAAGAGTAGTGGTGGAGCGGCGCCACACCGCCCCGCAGCGTTCGCTCGAAAAAAACAAGCGTGGCCTTTACGTACCTCCGGCCACGTAAATCGCGGTCTCCAGAAACGTCCGCGGTGCTACGTTTCCAGAATGACCTTGGGTTGAATTATTTAATTTTGACCAGTAGAGGATGGATATTTTCTCCACAAACAATCTCATCACACATCTGTGGTTAAACCCCTTATAAAAGTGATTTTTGCATAATAGCTGCCATTTAAAGTTTTCCTGTCCATCAGACTGAGTAATTGATGTTTGTGTTCAATCCACAGAAAGACTAGAGAAACCAAAAATCCACAAAATGCTTTATTCCCTCAGCGACGGACAATGCCACGTGGCCCTTAACTGCACTGTGCCTGGCCGAAATGTGATTTTGTCCTGGACACCTGATGGATATTTCAACGGATCGTACCTATCAGGAAACCCGACCTCTACGAACCCGCTCTCAGTTGTCTTCATCTCATTTAGAGGTACTGGAAACGTGACGTTCAACTGCACTGCATCCAGTCAAGAGCAGGTGGAGAGCACATTGATGACAGTGGGATGTTCGGGTGAGTCTCAACAACACAGTCAAAAACTCTGACGAGACGAGAAAAGAAGAGCAGATTTACCCTGTGCCCCGTAGTTTTTAATGAGCCAGTCTGAACCGCGAGCAGTTTCGCTTTCTTGCATGCACTCGCCGCGCGTCTATATCTGAAATAACAAACTTCTTGAGCTCAGGGGCGGACTGGCCATCTGGCAAGTCTGGCAAATGCCAGAAGGGCCGGACCATTTTTTTAAAATGTGGGCCGGTCAGTTTTTTATTTTTATTTTTTATTTTATTATTATTTTTTATATGTACTGTTTTTACATGCAGGCAGCTTTTATCTCGTGCAACATGTGAATATTATGATGACGTTGATGATAGTAATAATAGTAATAATCATAGTGAATGTTAAGCATTTGGCCCAATCGGTGATAGTTTCGAGAGGGGCCGACTCAATCAAAGGTTACGCGGACATAATCAAAATCTGGCAAGAATGTCAAACAAACAGTACGTATGGTAATGTGGGCTGGTGTGGCTATGGTGCCAGGGCTGAATTTTTGTCCCAGTCCGTCCCTGCTTGAGCTGATGATAATAACGTGCGCTTGATCATTGATGTGCTTTTGCTCGATCCTATCAGACACTGACAAACGCGAGAGTGAAGCGCGAAAAATCAAAGGAGAAGCCGGGAAAAAGGAGCACATTATTTCTTCAGCAAACTTGAACAAACTGCCATGTTTTTATTTTGATCAACTATTATGAACTGGGAATGATGGAATGACTCTCTAACAGAGGCTACACGTGCTGCTGAAGATTACACACACAGATGAGAGGTCTGCTCTGAATGCGGGCTATATTTCCTGTTGTTTTTGAACCTAAATCAGGACTAAATGTCTGTTGTGTGTAGTTTTTCTGTAATTAATAATATATTGGAGACTGTAAGGGGCTGTATGTGTTCATATATGTTCACTTAATTATTTATTTTATATAACTGCAGACGTTACAGTAGGCTATTTCGCACTGTCATTGATCTGCAGTTCTAATCAACTCATGTTGATGGAAAAGTTAGTGATAAACATTTATACACAAGTATTTATGTGTGTAAAGCGTCTGTTTTGTGAGAAGTGCTTCTCATATGATATGTGAACGACCCGTACAGCTTTACTGTAGACATTTATTCGAGCGAGAATGATGCGACTGAAACTTTCTGTCATGCACAACGCCCACCCAAAGGGCACCCTTGGTAGTGGAAACGCAAGCCTGATAAAGGTGACCCGACCCGAACCGTACCGTACTGAAACAAGCCATCAATGTTCTCTTCAAAACTACAGTAGTAGTTTGAAGGTGATCAATTGAGGTTGGCCTAAAACTATTCAGCAACACACATTCTGATCTTAGGCTAATTTCGAATAACTCTTCTGATCCACTTCAGATGTTAACCACAGTATGTGCATGTGTGAACGGTACACAATAGAAAGTGCATGCTGTGCTGTGAGTAAAATGTGCTGTTGTTTTGTTCCAGAAAACCCCCAGATGTGTGAAGTCTGCAGCTTTTGCAGACCGTGCAGCACCGGTGGTTTCTGTGTGCTGTGCTATATTGTGTTAACAGCTGTGCTTGTTGTGTTCGCATATAAAAATAAAGGTAACAAACATATGTTGTCGTTAATTATACATCACAGCTTTTTTTTTTTTTTTTTTAATCAACTATAATTTTTGTTTTATAGAACGAATTAAAGATTTCTGCATGAATGGCCCTGTTCAGTTCATCCAGAATCGTTGGTAAGATCTGAGTTTACTGTAATATTATTTATTTATCAGTGGAGTGCAGAGCTTCTGTTTCTGTGAGAGAAAACTCCTTTGTGTAAGATTTAACCCTCTCAAGGCAGGCGTTGCAGATTTGCAACAGGTGTAACTGAGTCAGATTTGTCCGCTCATTTGTTGTCTTTTTCGCTTAAGCTTTTTCAACTCTGCCCACAAATGTTCTATAGGATTGAGATCAGGGCTTTGTGATGGCCACTCCAAAACATTCACTCTGTTGTCTTTAAAGTACATTTGAACTAATTTGGCAGTATGCTTAGGGTCATGGTCTGTTTGGAAGACTCATTTGTGGCCAAGTTTTAATTTCCTGGCTGATGTCTTGAGATGTTGCTTGAGTATTTCTACATAATGTTCCTCTTCATGATGCCATCTATGCTGTGAAGTGGACCAGTCCCTCCTGCAGCAAAACAGCCCCAAAACATGATGCTGCCGCCCCCATAGTTAAAAATGAACTACCTTATTACTCCAGACACATATTTTATGAGTTTTTTTTTTACTCAGAAGTACCACTGCAGGACTTGGTTGTCCATTAGCAACAAACAGTTTCCCCACTTGCTCAGCAGATGACACAAAAGACAAACACTGTTTCTTGGAGAACCAAATCAGGGCTCAACAATAAGGACTGGCCGGTGGCCCAGGGCCAGCGTGAGAGACACTTGGGACAGTAGACAGGATCATTACTGGCCCTATTGGGACAGTGCTGCCTTGTCACTAAAGTTTAATCTGTGACTTTTTGCCAATTGCGTGCATTTTAATTTTGTGCTTTTAAGTGTTTAAATGATACCTTCTCTGTGATGTCGTAAATACTATATTGCTTTTCGGTTCCTCTTGATGTTTTGAGCATGCTGTTTTTCCCTATAACCTGGTGACAATCAGTACAGTGAAGAAACGGCAACATGGCGACAACATCACGTTATAAGGCTAAAAGAAAATGTCATGTTCCTGTGTCTTGGAAGCAGGACATTTACGTGGGAACAACACGACAAATAAATGAAGTGTTATTTTGCACAGTTTGCCGTCAGTTTGGCAAGTCAGCCACCTTTTGTTAAATAATTTCGAACTGCAATGAAACCCCTCCACATTTTCCAGACTGCTCTTTTTGTTTGCATAACACTTCGAATTTTGCACATTAACCATTTATTAACTTTTTTTAAGTATTGAAATGCTAGATTCACAGATGTTAGTTTTGACATGTTATTTAAAATATGTGGCTAAAAAAGCTATTAACTTCTTTTTTTTTTTTTTTTTGGTGGGGCCAGTAAAAATTTTGGGAGGGCAAGTAAAAATCTAAAACATTGGCCTGGTCGGATCAGTAGAAAAAAATCCTTACCGTTAAACCCTGCAAATGACAAAAGCCCCTTTCACACAGTGAGACCGGTAAATATATGGAAAATTTCTGGAACGACTTTACCGGTATATTCAAAAAAGCGCTGTTCACACAGGCGAGGACGTTACGGAATTTTTCCGGAAAAGAGCATTCACACATCCATTCCAAAATACCGGTAAATTCTGACATCATTCACCACAAATGAGCTTTAAACAGCTGTGCTTGTGTTTGTAAACATTTGACTACATCACAAACTCTGTGGATGGATCAGTACAGTGAACAACTTCGATGAAAACATATAGACCTTTTTCATGGCTGCTGCATGGAGGGCGCCATAGCGACCAGCGTCTTCCGGTAGAATGCTAAAAACTTCCGTTTACAGCGTGTACAACTGGTAATTTGCGCTCTGAAAATGGGTTTCAATAATGTTTTTAATGGATAACAGAGTGTTTTTGTGACACACAACTTAGAAATGTGTCTGTTAAAGCCGTTATAATCTGTCACATGTGGTTCAAGCGCGTCAGAAATACGAGAAAAACGTTCTCCTAGTTCTAGCTCAGCGGCTCTTTAACACACACGCATACACAGAGAGAGAGAGAGAGAGAGAGAGAGAGAGAGAGAGAGAGAGAGAGCGCAAACCAGAGTACAGGCATGAAACTTAACAGGTATGAAAGTCGTGCAATTTACAAAAATGACCAATAAAAGTCTGTTATTGATCCTCTGCTGGCTGATTTGCTGTTTATTCCAATCGCGAGCCGTTTGTGTTTCATTTCATGTGTTGTTTTTATCACGGTTTGTGTTTTTCTGTCATTTTGAAATGACACTAGCCTATATTTTCACGTTGTCACAGTTATTAAATCAGTGTGTCAGTGGCACAGTACAGGCTACGTGTGTGTGTCAAACATTTTGGTGAATTACATTAGTTTGGGCTGGTTATATATTTGAAAGAAAGAGAAACTGTTGACTTTAGCGATGACGAGGCTTCATTTAAACTGCTGAAGATGTCGTCTGACAACGAGGGGAAAACGCCTCACAGCAGCTGTTTTCCATCCAATTAGATGGCTTTTCTTTAAATGATCAGTCCAGGAGATGGTGCTGATGGACAACAGTATTATTTCAAAGAGGATAAAAGCAGGTAAAATAGATTAAAACTATCGTTTCAAAGCTGTCCAAATGTGACTGTTTACACGCATCAGCTGCCGACCGGAAGTTCTTTGCATTCTCCTTGCGCATACACGCAAAGCATAATGGGTAATTTTGCGTTCCAAGAAAAAGGTCTATAGAGAAACACTTTCGCATGTCGAGATGTTCATGATATGTGCGTGTGCTGGCGCTCACGGGCTGTTTCACAGGCACACGCAAAGCTTGAAGGTAAACAAACAACGGCTTATCATAAGCATCTTATCGATAATTAATTACACGGTTGTCATTAAGATGAACATATAAACGTTATCTGACTGATTTCTAGCAGCTAAATGTGTGTGGAAAAATATTCAAAGGCTTTTATTCTCATAAACCGCGCGGACGTAAATGCGTCTGACTGTTCTGATTGGCTAAAGCAGGCATCTCACGTCAGCCCGTTCTAAACGTGATGCGCTCTTTCCGGTAATCTTCCTTCTGCATTCACAAAGCGCAGCATTCCGGCAAATTGCCGGTAATGTTACAACTTCTCTTTCCGGAAAATAGCCAGAACGAATTTACCGGTATTTTCAAAAAGGGCCTGTTCACACATACAACCTTTTCCGGAAAATTACCGGCAATTGTATGTGTGAAAGGGGCTTGAAAACATGACCTACTCAATGAGGATTTGAGATATTGGATTTGGATCCCATATTGTTTTTGTCGTTGTTCTGCCTCAGAAAAGCAGTTTGTTGCATTGTTTGAAAAGCTGTATATATAAAGTTATTGTTCATATCATATTCAGTCGTCAGTGTCTAATTACCACACTGGGCCAATGTTGCAAATCTGCAACATCCCAGAACGCCGTGCATGTGGAGGTCCCTCTAAAAAAAAGTCAGGATTCTATTGTACTACCCCATATGATAATTTCCCCCAAATATCAGATTTTTCCTGTTTCTAAAACTTATTTTGAGCCTGAGAGGGTTAACATGCTGTATAAATACTGCTATGTTAGTCTGACCTCTTTCCCAGAGATGGGTTGTGGCTGGAAGGGCATCCGCTGTGTAAAAACTTGCTGGATGAGTTGGCGGTTCATTCCGCTGTGGCGACCCCGGATTAATAAAGGGACTAAGCCGACAAGAAAATGAATGAATGAATGAATAATTAGTCTGACCTCATTGTATTGTTTAAACTGTTTGTTTAATGTATGTCATAAGAAAAAACCTTAGGTTTTGGAATAAATGTTAATTTTTTGGTGAACTATCTCTTTAATCAACAGGTCGCCTTCAGCCCCAGCACACTCATCAGAGTCTGCTCCAGCCCCAAGCCTGAAAACTTGTACTTGAATGAATGAACAAATGAATGAACTTCTAGGTACTCGTGACTTTAAACTCAATAAAAGGCAGCTTTTTTAATGATAATTTGTCTGTCTTCTTTGCTCAATGGTGCGTGTAAGAGTTTCTGGTTAAACAATAAACTGTGGGAGTGTGTAGGTGTGAAGTTTGTCAGTATTTCGCAGTATTGACACCACTATTTTAGGTCACTGTGAATGCTCTTGAAAAATAGGAAGTGGTCAAGCTGAACTAGAATTAGAGATGTGACCTTTTGTTTTTAGCAGATCTGACTATGAGTAAATGCTGCAGAAATATTGCTCTGTTTACTGAGATGACGCTGAGCTGTTTCACACTTAGCTCATCAGACGTCCATCGGTGTGCAGAGATGTTTTGAGGAGTGGGGGCTCAAGTGGACATTATATTGTATCTGTTTATAACTAAAACATATTACATTGATAGTTAGCTCACTTTAAAAAAATGTACCCACCATTAACTTAGCCTTAAATGGTTTTGAACATTTAGTTTATTTTTGTATTAAGAAATTCCTTCATTTTCCTTCAGCGTATTTCCTTAATCAGTGGTCACCACAGCGGAATGAACCGCCAACTTTTCTAGCATATGTTTTATGCAGCGGATGCCCTTCCAGCTGCAATCCAGTACTGGGAAACACCTATGCACTCCCACACTCACGCACACTCATACACCACGGCCAGTTTAGTTAATCCAATTCACCTATAGCGCATGTGTTTGGACTGTGGGGGAAACCGGAACACCCGGAGGAAACACACGCCAACACGGAAACACACAGAAATGCCAACTGACCCAGCAATCACTGAGCCACCATGCCACCCCAAAAAGAGAGCATTTTAAAGAATGTTCAACAGTAAACGCTACTGATTTCCATAGGGAAATAAAATACTATATAATGCCATGATTAGCCAAAATTCTTCAAAATATCTTATTTATTCAATAAAAGGAAGTTTTTAACAGGTGGATAGTCAGTAAATGATGACAAAATTGACATTTTGAAAAAAAAAAAAACTTTTTATAATTATTATTTCAGGATTTTCACCTTTATTACAGAGGACTGTAGAGAGAATTGACAGAAAACATGGGGAGCAGAGAGAGTGGATGGATAGGCATAGGACCACGAGGTGGAAGATCTTGGGTCGCCGTGAACACCTGAGTGCATGTGTAACCACACTAACCACTACACCACTGGGGCAGACCCTATTTTTTTTAACACAAATCTAACTTAAACATCTATTTAAATTCCCTCATAATTGTTTTACGCGATTTTCTTTTTCAACCGATGTCTACAAAATAATCAGTTTACAAAACTTTACACAACTCATCAAGCACAGGGCTGCCCAAACCCGGCCCCGGAGGGCCATGTGTCCTGCATATATTAGTGCCAACCCCAATTAAACACACCTGAACCAGCTAATCAATCTTTTTCTAGATATACTAGTATCTTCCAGGCAGGTGTGTTTTTTATATTTAATTTATAAAAGTTTTTGTAAAAACATAACACCCAATACTGTACATCATGCACATATGTTAACAAAATGATCTCGGTGTTATTACCTGATACTAACTAGAACATGCACAAGAACACTAGCAGACAATACATCAATTATACAGCACCATCAAAAAAAATAATAATAAAAAAAAATATGCCAGACTAATGGAATAAGAAACAAAATACAATGATATATAAAAAGGAGAGAAAAAAATATGACCAAAAGTAATTACAGGATTCAACTCACCTTTATTTGTGTAGCGCTTTTACAATGTAGATTGTGTCAAAGCACCTTCACATAGAAGATCATAGTGAATTGAAAGAGTGTCAGTTCAGTTTTCAGAGTTTAAGGCCCTGTTTGCACTAATGCGTTTTAGTTTGAAAACGCACAAGTTTTGCTACAGTTACGCCATCCGTCCACACTATGCCAAGCACTGAAAACGGAGCGTTTTGGAAACGCTGGAGAGGCTGTTTTCATTCTGAAGCACTGCTGCTCCGTCTCAGTGTTGATGGGGGGAAAACGGAGACATCTGAAAACGGAGGCGGGGCTGCTGAGATTCGCTACCTGATTGGGGCTTTTATGTCATTGCGTATCCTTCCCTTATTCATCAAGCCGCTATCACATGACTATAACACATGGCTTTAACGCTACTGGAAGACAGCAGACCAGCCTTCACTGTAAACAACAACATGGACACAGAAATGGGAGCGTTGTTTGCACTATTGTCTGTTTTAGGCGCCATTGTGCAGTTATTCATTAGTTACGTTTAGTAACAACTCGACCTCGTCGTCTGTACACAATAAGACCTCTCTTGCTTTCTTTGCCATCGCGTTCATTGTTCAACCGGCGTTTGTTGACTAACAATAACCAAATGCCGAGCGAGACGCATGCTTTCTGTTTATACTAGAACGGGCATACCCAGAGTGCGCGAATGGTCACGTGATATACGTTTTTGGTGGCATAGTGTGGACGGAGATATGTTCAGAAACGCTAGGTGAAACACTAGAGTGGACGCGGATTGTTTTTGATCTACAACTCCGTTTTAAAACTAAAACGCACTTGTGTAAACGAGGCCTAAGTTTAGTTCAGTTCAGTTCAGCTTAGTGTGGTTTAAAAATCACTATTGAGAAGCCTGAGGAGCAGATCCATCGATGCGCAGCTCTACAGGTCCTGAACCATGTAAGCCAGTGGCGACAGCAGCGAGAAATGAACTTTACCAGTTGGCGAAAGTGAAGAATTAAAAAACCTTGAGAGAAATCAGGCTCAGTTGGGCAAATGTCTTGTGCAGAGCTGCAGTCTAGGCGGAGGCTGGAGAATACTGGACCTCAGCGAAGACTCGTCAGTCCCTGGAGTGTCACAGGAATTAGACTCATGCTCTCCACTCCTTCATGACCACCACAGCAGCTGCTCAGGATACGGCCTTGTCCAGGATTGTGAAACCTTGGGATCATCTCGTCGCTGGTCTTGGATCAATCAGTGGCGCTGCATAGTCTGAGGGCCTCGGGATGAGTATCCCCAGGTGGAAATAGAGCATAAAGAGAATAATTAGCGTAGCTGCTGTTCATAGTGTATATAAACGAGATGCTTGAAGCACATTCATGCATCACATAGCTCTGTGATGTATTGAGTGCATGCTGTACTAAAAAGATAGGTCTTTAATCCAGAAACATTATTAACCTATACATCTAAAGAAGGGGCCCCATATTTTGCCATACAACTTCTGTTTGCCCGATCTAGAGAAACGTAACTGTAGGAGCCATACATTGTATATTGGCGATTGGCCACAAGGTGTCAGTATGACACTATATAACTGTGGCTTCACTGCATGGAGTAAGACAGTGTTGGTAAGAAGCACACAGTTTTTGACCGTCTTAACTCGTAACTGAACGTCTCCTCTCGTAACTGAGTGTAATTCAACTCAACTCAAGGTAACAGAGAAGTGTGCATATAGATAAAGGAAAGTGATTGAGTAATTCTGTTAATTAGGAGTTGATTGGAAAATAAATACGTTTTTATTTGCATCTATTTGCTTACAGACTGTGACTTTTACGAGTTAAAAACTTGCTCACTCTACCAACAACAGCGGCATTGGAAAGCCGCTAAAGTAACATTTCCAGCTTGAGGGCAGAAACTATTTCAGCTAAAAAAGGTTGGAGGAGTCGTGGATTTCCACTCCATCAGAATCACCCTCTTGGCCAGCACCATCCCAAACATAAAGGAGAGTTGTTGACGTTTAGGCCAAGTTAGAGCCTGGTCTAAACATCCAAACAGTGTTCAGTGCCTCCTCCCAAGGATGAAATGTCAAATCCTAATTCCCTCTGCCAATCCAGGCAGGTGTGTTAAAGGAAGTTGGAACTAAACTCAGCAAGACACCGGCCCTCCAAGACCGAGTTTAGACACCCCTGGTCTAGCACATCCAGTGGCGTAGCGCAAAATGCGGAGGCCCCCCTGCAGGGATCACTGACGGGGCCCACTGATGAAGTGGGGTGGGGGGGGATACGTCATACGTCAATTTGCATATCTATGACGTCATCACGTTCTACCATTTGTTTGTTTAACAGCCTATGGTTAATAAAGGGGTATTTATAATTGCACTACACTTTATATAAGCATGTTTATTTTACAATATTTGAATACAGTATGTCATTATAGATGTGTAGTGAATGTGCAGTAATCTCTCATATGTAATAAACTCAGACAAGTTCAGAAACTGTCACTAAAATATCTGTGATTGTGAACAAGAAAAGAATAAACGGTCCAATTAAATTGTTAAAATAAAGGAGAAGTAGATCGGTTTGACTGTACAAGGGAAATACCTCACACTGCCTGTGCTAAATCATTTGTCGTCGGTACGCAGAGGGGTGATCTGCTCTCGGGCTGCAGGTGGGAGAGGCTGCTGTAGGAGGACTGACTGGGCCGCCTGTCAGTGCTGTGAGGTGGGGGAGGGGCCGGTGTAGCAGTTGATTCTGTTCCCTTCTGGAACTCCAGTTCCCCCTCTACGAAGCGTATCCGCTAACAGCGTATGCAGACACACCCAAACACAACTGGATGTACGGAAAGCGAAAAGGGACAAAAGTGTTGGCAATGCTTTTTATGTCTTGCAATGTCAAAGTAGCGCAATAAAATCAATCTTACACTTACCATTACATATTACCTGTGGTTCTTGTTTGCATTCTTAGCTTTTTTTAATGTCTGAGTTTATGTTTTAATAATCCAGCAACAGAAGGAGACTACAAATGCTTTTTCCTGTTAATAAAAAAAAATTAAATGTAGAAACGTTTATTTTCTTGTTTATCTCTTTGGAAATTGCTATGGTATACCTGCTGTAAATTTGTCTCTAAAATGTAAACCTGTGTATGGCAAACATGCTGTCTAAAATAAAATTCCGCTTAAGGAATAAGGAAAAACCTTCTAGATTACGTTGAGAAACTTAATTTTCAGGTTCGCGAAAAATACGAACTTTAAGAACCACTCTGCTTCCCGTACATCCAGTTGTGCTTCTCGGGTACGTTGTTTGCGATCATACGTATGGTGCCTCGACAACAACGCAAACCATGT